CAAGTACACCTTTTTAATGAGAAATTAAATTAAATTTTTTAAGAATATACAGTCTCACATTTGAATTAGAATTAAAAATAGTAACATATCCTGAAAAAATAAAAACATAAATGAAATAGACCACACTCAACCAAAGCAATAAATAAAATGAACTCTAGCTCTTGAATAAATATTAAAGGTACAGTGTGTTGAATTTTGTGACATTGAGTGTTGAAATTGCATGTTGCTGCTGAACAACCCTCACCTCACCGTCTCCTTCCAAACATGAAAAATAGCCTGTGGTAGCTTCAGTTGTCATAAAAACTCTAAAGATGTTTAGTTTGTCCAGTCTGGACTAATGTAAAAAAACATGGCGGCCTCCATAGAGAGGACCCCCTCAATGTACATATAAAGTATTTCAAAATAAAATACCTTTTCTGGGGTTAAGAAAACTACAATTCATACAATTTAGATGAAACAAGCTCAGTAAACTGGATGAGATGGTTATGATTTAGATGAGATTTTAGCTTTGTGTTGTGTTTCCTTGTGTGTGTCTGTCTGTCTGCTTGTTTTTGTCACTTTTGACACACAACTTGGCAATCACATGGATTTAATTATTATTCGAATATGTCAAATCATTAATCCAGATTGTTCCAGCTGCTTTAACACTGATGTCCTGACTGTGGGCTTCTTGTGTTGTTTGTAGCAGGCGACTGCGTACACACAACATGTTGGACTTTTTTTGTGTATTTAAATGTGTGTCCAATTAAATCTAGAGTGATTCAAACAAACACAAAGTAAACGTCGGTACTGTTCAGGTCTTAATAACCTGTGGTTAGTGTTAGTGTTAAAGGTTCAGTGTGTACAACTTAGTGACATCTAGAAGTGAAGTGTCATGTTGCAGCTGAATACTCCTCATCTCACCCTCCCCTTTCCAAAATGAAAGAGAACCTGTGGTGAACTTCAGTTGTCATGAAAACTCAAAAGGTTTTAGTTTGTCCAGTTTGGACCACAGTAAAAAACATGGCGGCCTCCACAGAAATGATAGATAGATGATAGATTGATTACTTTATTCATTCCCAAAGGGAAAGTAGGTCATCATAGCATATTGGTATTTGGATACTATAAAAATACAAAAGAATCAGATACTGTAGGTAGAAAAATATAAAACAATAAAAACCAAAATAAAAACATGGAATAGGACAAAGGCACTTCAAAAAACACAAGATAACTAGTTAGATAAGGTGCAGTGGCAAGATGATGGTAATAGTACTGATGATATGATGGTAATGTTATTGTTACTAAACAGTATATAATAATAGTACAGTATATATAGTATA